AAAAAAAAAAAAAAAAAAGAGAGAGAGTTTAAGATGTAAATTTTATGTCCGTATATTTTACCATAATAAAAATTGGATTAAAAAAAACAACTTGATGGAACACTTAGAATAAACCAGATCCTATGCTAAACTTACTTATATGCACTCATGTATCTACTACATCTACTTTTTATATAGGTGAGGAAACTAAGAAACAAAGAGCCTACTTAACTTTTCCAAGGTTCCCTTTTAGAAGCAGGTGATACTAAACTTGGAACTGGGTTTTCTGACACCAGACTCAATGTTTTTAACCATTTACAGGGGCTTCGTGACATATTCCCTGTCAATCTATTCTTATCTAGTAAGGATGGGGAATTTCTGCATAGAAAATCTCCACCAGAAAATATAACTAGCTTCCTCTTTTAAAGAATTAGTTTTTTTGTAGTATGGCATATATACAATAAGGTACACTAATTTTAAGCACACAACAGACTGTTTTTACATATGTAACTTCCACTAGGTCAGAAAAGGTCTAGCTCCCCCGAAAACTCCCTTATAGCCTTTCCCAGAAAACACCACCTCCAGGGGGAACCACTGTTTGACCTTCATTATCATAGATTACGATTTCCTTAACAATTTTTTAAATCATGATAAAACACAAGGTGCGACTGAAAACTACAGTGAATGTTTAATTTTTTAAAAAATGTATTATGGTAAAAGACATTAATATTACACTCTCCCTTGCTTTGAACACATTTATCCCATTATTTTTGCCACTTTCTGAAGCAGTTCTGGAAGTCCTCTCTCAGGTGTGTCTTCAGCTGCGCTAGGGTGGCTGCCTTGCTGTCCTAAACAGACTCGAAACATCTACCTTTCACAGGAGCTGCATGGTGCCCGATCCAGTGAATAAGATGGACGAGGACCCACTCCAATCTTTTCTACAAGCCTGCCTTCCCACTGGAAGGCACTCAGCAGCAGCACCCACTGTAATTTCTAACACCTTCATACAGATACCGGGAAGAGGACTTATAAAACTGGACTAGAGGGCCAGGGATTTAGCTCAGCGGTGCCACTGCCTGCCTCACAAGCACAAGGTCCTGAGTTTGATCCCCAGTACCAAAAAAACAAAAACAAAAAACTGCATTACAAAGTGGCAAGAATGATGGGATAAAGTGTTTGAAGCGAGGGAAAGTATTTTGAGAAGAACTAATGGCTTTCAGCGGTGCCACTGCCTGCCTCACAAGCACAAGGTCCTGAGTTTGATCCCCAGTACCAAAAAACAAAAACAAAAAACTGCATTAGAAAGTGGCAAGAATGATGGGATAAAGTGTTTGAAGCAAGGAGAAGTATTTTGAGAAGAACTAATGGCTACCTGACTTTCACTATAATATATTTTTAATTTAAATTTACCTTT